CCTGTGGCATCCAAATCAGGTAACCCTGGTTACTGCTAACTAGGTATCCAAACCAAGATAAGAAATAGGACTGAAGGTGGCTTGGAGCCAGAGGTACTTCAAAGATGAAAAGGAAGGAGGAAATTCAAGCTCAAGAGAGTAAGACGGGACAAAAGAGCTCATTTGAGCCCAAGGGTGCTCATTATTGTCAAGCCAAGATTTGGCTTTGACATCAGAATTCAGTCACAGCACTGTCTGCTTTCCTCACTCTTCATGCAGTCACCACGCAAATAGGAGCATTCAGCCCAGTGCACCCGAACAAGGTGCCCAGTGTCCATAAATGTTCAGGAACACCCTTCAGTTATGGAGGGGGGTTTTCCTTTTACTGCATGGATCTATCTTCCAACAACTTTGCATCCACTTGCTAAGGACCAAAATGAGAAGTAACTCTATGCAAAGCAAGCCCAGCTTGCACAACAGATAATTTCCCCCTTCAGACCTGGAGCAGTTCAGGTTTTTATGCATAAGCCCTTGGAAATGACAATTGCCTACAGCTTCTCAGTATGTACCTCTTCTCTGCACAAGTCTGTAAAAGCAGTGCTTTCCATGTAGAAAAGATGCCAATTGACCCCTTAACAGAACTCCCAATATGCATATATAACCCCTATATGTATAATATTTATATCCTGACTTTCAAACTGTAAGGCTCCCAAGGCAGCTAACACCATTGTAAAACCATAGTTTATAACTAAACAGCAATGAAACTAATTGAAACATTAAAAAGTACAACACGACAGCGGCAAAGAATCAGCAGAAGCTCTAGCAAATTCACCTCACATGGTCTTTGAAAAAGCATTGACCTCCTTGTCCCCCCAAAAACCAAGCAATGATGGGGTGATATGAGCTTCCTTAAAAAGGAGGTACCATAATCTTGGTGTCACTGTTGAGAAGGCTGTTACATTTCAAGTGGTGGGGGAATATGGCATAGCAAGCGGTCTGATTACAACCCAGGCACACTTGTAATATCATACGGGAGAAATATAGAAACATAGAAAACAGAGCAAGTCAGAAGGGGCCTCCCAGGCCATCTGACCTCCAGCACCAGCCAGCTCCGCTCACAACATACCCACCATGTGGACGTCCAGCCTATCCTTGAACACCTGCACCGATGAAGAGAGAGCCCTTCCATTACTTTTGTTCGACTTGTGACCCTGGAGGGTTCAATCTCCTATCCATCAAGTTCAGTGATGGAACTTGATTGAGCATCATGATGGCAGGGACACATCTGTATCTGCCTGTCTATCACCATCAGCTAGGGAGACAGCTCTCATCTGCTAGGCACATGCAAACTATACCTGTTGCCTTTCTATTCTCCAAAACTGGTTGGAAAGGGTACGTTCTGAGAACCTTTCCTTAGCAAGGGTATTTCTAAGGGTATTAGTGAACTCTCTAACCCATGGCCAAAATTCTGGGGCAGCTTTTAGGAGCAACTGCATCTCTAGTATGAGCATCTGCTTTGTGTGCTGAATGACTGCATTTTAAGCCACATCTTATAGATATTCAAGGAAGATGGCAAAGACTGCTGGAGACTTTTGAGGACTACCATCATTCACAGTTCTGAGCTAGATGGACCACTGGTTTCACTCAGTACATGACATGTTCATGCATTCATATCATGGGCCCACTAGGGTGATTTTCCTTGTAGCTTTCTTTTCTGGTAAAGAGAGAAATCCGGGGTCTCTGGGCAAGTATCACAGGGACAATATCTTGCATTCCTTGCTCTGAGTCAGCCATCCAATCCCTCCTCCCCTGACTTTTCAGAGTCAATACAGAGAGAACCACAGTGCCTGCTTCTCCAAGCCTGGAAAATTGATCTTGCAGAAGAGAGGAAAGAGGGCATTCTTTTGGGTGGGAGGAGGAGGAGACTGGAAGCCAGAACACAATTTATCCTGAGCCTTCTTCCTTTCCTCCTCCTCCAAACATGCTTCCTTTCCTCTTCCTCCAAAGCGCCCCCAGTACACTTTTCTGACAGTCTTTCACAAGTATCAAAGACTGGATGGCAGGGAGGAGAAGGTCATGTCCGCTGCCCCTCCTGCCTTGCTGAGTTAAGGCTGAAGAATTTCAGAAGCCTTTCACTCTTGAGGCTTCCACGTAGCAACAGTGCATTCCATAGGACTTCAACCTAACTCTCTTTTATTTTAATTTATCCAAGATTTGTTATAGTAGTAGTTATTTTAATTTTCAAAGAGCTGATAGGGTATAGACTTTTTAGCTGGCATTTACGTAGCTGCATTAATTCATATGGAATTTTGTGAAAGAGTATGTGTTAAACTTTATTTGTATATCAGTTTTTTTCAGGAGAATGAACATGGTCTAAACTGATTTAGTTGGGATGCACACAGTATAGAATCACAACACATTCAGGAAGAAATTAATAGATTAATAGATCAGCAAAAACTGAACTTTTCCAGTGGGTTGCAACTGTTCTTCCTTCAGCGTCTGCTGCATTTTTATGTTTTCTTTTTGTTTTAAGGCACTTTGTAAGCCAGGCTGAGCAATTCCCGGAGGAGTGCTGAATGACTTTGATTCAAGAACATGCATAACATGCAAGAAATTATACATGCATCCATACTACTACCTACACAAAAGATTGAAATGCAGGGGAAATGTGTCATTTTTTGACTGTACTGAACATTAGTGTTAAGAGAGAGAAAATGACTGATAATGTGTTTCATGCGCATTTTGCTGAACAAAAGCAACTGGCCTTATTAGAGACTTGCTCAAGATAACACAGATGTGAAACTAGAAATTGCAGAGACAATTATGGCTTTTATGGATGGCATGGGAGAAATTATCAACAAAACTCAAGACGAAAGATATTTGGAACAGCAGAACAGAATCATGAATACCAGAAAACTCAATAGAGATCAAAGGAAAATGAGCATTTCATTGGGGATAGGAGAGGCAAACAGAAAAGTTTCTGAGGTTAAATAGAACTGATGCTTGTGGTACTAATTTTACATTGGTAAGTTTAGCTATCACAGATAATAGTATTTCATTTCCTGGTTCTTATATCTGGATTGGGTTTTGTTAGCTGTTTTTTCCCTTTGGAAGGAAAACTAGTTCATGGTAACACAACCCTGACATTCACAATATCCCCAAATATATGTAAAAGCTGTCCCCTCCTAGCATCTCAGGGGAGTCAAACACTGTCTTAATGAAGATGCTACAAAACCATTTCCAAAGTGCAGCAATCTCTATGAATTTTTTTGAGCGGGTCAAAAATCACAAGGGGGCAACAACAACAACATGTCATGAAGGAATGTATTTAATACTTAGGCCTCTATACATGAAGACAGCAGGAGGTAGTTCTCCAGATGTTTTGAGCTTCAACTTCCACAAGTCCCTAACAGTATGGCCAATGATCAGGACTGCTGGAATCTGAAGGCCAAAACATCTGGAGGTTTACCTTCTGCTAATCCCTGCTCTGCATGGTACAGCTGCAAGCTACCTCATCCAAGTCCTATCCACCACAAACTTCTTAAAACAACAGCCACCACAAACCTTTCATAGATCTGAAAAAATGTAAGCACAAACCTGCAGAGAGCATGAGATTTAGAACTACCAGCAATACACTGAACCCTAAATGGCTCTCATTAAGCTGTATGGCACTTTGAGTCTTTAGCTCTAAAGTAAGCATTTAAGAAGTAGGGGACATGCTAAGCCCACTGAGGCTGTTCCCAAGAACACATTTTCACTTCCTTCTGTATCAATGAATGGTTGCCTTTCATTCCTATTGGATAAAGGAAATCACTGCATTTGAAAATACTTTTATTGCACTAAGGGTAAAACATGTTTCCTGTGCCTCACACTGTGTCAATCATATTTTATTATCAAGAGCTTAGTTCTATTCTTGCAGAATCTAACTGAAGTTCTAAAACAGGGGTGGAATCATTAGTGGCTTTCTCCACCCTGGCCATGTGCTGGAGGAATAGTGCCACAGCTTGAAACAATTAATTAACCTGCTGATGAAGCAAATAATGTGGGATGCAGTCAGACAAGGACTCACTGTAACTTTTCTATCAATTAAAAGTGAAGCATTTAATACACAACAAAGAAATTATGTTTTCATTAATCAACACACTCTAGTACCTCTGTAAACATTGGGAAGAGTATGACCCTCAGGCCTGCCTCATCTTTCATAGAATGTTTAGTGAAATGTTTTAACAAGTTTTACAAAAACAGCACCTAGGCTCATTCTGTTAATTTCTTACTAAGGTGTTAATGTTGTTATCCTAGTCCACCTGCCAAAACCACACTTTTGTATGCAAAAGCACCATATGCAAAGCTGTGCATTTTCTACAGAACTCAAGAAATTTTGTGTCTTAAAGCGTATGACTAGCTTCCAAATTAAATAAAAGAAATTTTATTATTTTATGTGTTTATTTTTGTAGCAGCATATACCAAACAGTCAGGCTCATACAGTGGCTCTGTTTGCACGAGACTGTAAGCCGCATCACTTAAGCAAGCGAGAATACTTGTGCATGCTGCCTGATGATTTCCACTTTGCTCTTCCCACTAGTGGAAGCAGCTGTGGTAGCAAAGAACTCATCCAGGAGAAAAGACTTTGTGTTCACTTGACCTCTTGATCTGCTGATTCTCTAATGAACCAGAAGCCAAGGCTAACTATTGAAGTCCTCCTAAGGTGCTTGGCTTGTTTAGGAGAGTAAAAGAGGAATTAGGTTTGAACAGAATGCTAAGCCTTTTCTTCCTGGTAAGTTCCTGAGCAACGAAGCTACTCCTGTTGGCCTGAAGAGCCAAGTGGAAGCAAAGGAGCAACAAGCTCTAGCACCCTACTTGCAAATGACAAGACAAGAGTCTCTAGAATTCTGCTTATTGTTTTGGTGTACTTTGTTTTCCAAACCACAGATCGATACCCAATGAAGATAGATGCCACATTGCTTTCTCACACAGATGCAGCCTGGATGAATAGCATAATGTTAAAAAGTGGTGTTGCTTACCATCATCCAAGTAGGCCTGGTCAAGGTTCTGTTCCTGTTTGACCGTGACTCCAGTTGGCACTGCTTCCTTCTGATCACTTACTGGTGGTCCATTTTTGGCTGTTCTCTGCTGCTGAATCACGGTTGGGTAAGAATTTGGGCTTAACCTTTGTGCTTGGCTGACCTGAGGTTGACTAGGTCTTGCTCCACTGGTAGTGAAATTTTCACTACACATGATGTGCTGAAATTCTTGATGGCTTTCACACCGCAGCTGCTGATTGGTTGTGGGAGAGCAGTGGATCACAGGGGAAGGTTGCTGATTGGCTGGAGAAGGATGGAGCACTGCTGAGCTTTGGCTGGGAGAGCCTGTGTGAACCAGCACTGATCTGTGAACATCCGGGATGGAAAGTTGTGCAGCCATCAAGCCAGACTGCTGGTAGCCTAGGTGGGTGGGACTGAGGCTCTTGCTTCTTTGATATATTACAGCCCCTGGGTTTTGTTGAGGATACTGAGATTCAGGAGAAGACAGGCTTGAACGCAACTGCTGGCAGGGCGCCATTGTAGCCACAAGACAGGAAGGAGACTCGGAGACCATTGAATGGTGTGCATAATAAGGCTGTGTTACTGTTCTCAGGCCACTCTGTACTGTATTGCAGATTAGAGATGGATCATAGTCATCAATGGGCTCTGTTTTGATGGAAGGCACTGGAACAAAGTGCACAAAGGACACGATTCTAAACAAATGGCTATGTGACTGTTTGGGGGAGGAGGGAGGAACAGGCACTGACAACACACACATTGTACATTCTCCCCAAGGCCTCAGGCATGGTTCACATGTGCATGTTGCTTGCTTGTCTAGTGCAACATCAGGCTATGGTCTGACTGTGCAAATGGCCCACTGCAGACCGAACCCCACAGGCAGAGATTCTCCATCTCCTCTCAGCATCCCCCAAAACAATGCTTTCCAATGGATCAAGCTCGTACTTGCACCACCCAGATGTAAAGGACTGTTCCACAAAGGCATAGGCATCCCTTGGTGATGGTATATAATGACTGGCAGCTGAATATGTCCTGAGCTGGTCCCTGCTTTCTCTCTTTCTTTTTATCAAACTCAAAAAGAAACCTCTGAAGGGCAGGGTTTTTTTTAACTGAAGCTTAACTGGTTACAGAGCACAGTGAATGCTAAATAGCTTTTTGCCAATCTTGAGGAAAAGCATCTGCCCATGTAAAGAGCTGAATCAAAACTGAAAGTTCTCCTCTGTACCTCCCTTTCAGTAAAACTGCTGATTCCACCCTCAGCGCAGTTCATGCTGTTTGAGGACAAGATGGTGAGCATGCCTGAGACCTTGTCACTGGGCTGGTGTCTTCTCCTGCCACCACCTGATCAGGTCAAGGAGTTCTTCTTGCATCTGCTTGCCCTCACACCCTGAAAAACCTTCTTCGCATTCAAAAGGTGGCAGATTCTCATGCTCTGCCTGCAAAACTTCACTAGGTCACATTGAATCAGTCAACTCCTTCTCCCTCTTGCTTCTCAGTCTCCTCCTCAGAATTGGATGAAACTATCTGAGAAGCCTCTATTGAGCGAGAGATGGGCCCACTTTCTACAAATTATATGAACCCGCATCCATCGAATGATGTGAAATGAAAGCATATCTGTGCTGCTCTATCTATAAGATCTCTCAAACCAGTTGAATTCAGCAGTGAGTGTCGTGTGACATCAACATCAATGCTAGAAGAATCAAATTATGTCCGTGCATGTATGAAACAGGGAAAGCCAATGTGGTTGCAGTGGTTAGATGCTACACCACACTGGCTGTTCCTCTTTCATACACTCTAGCTATCAGAATGTTGGACTCGGAAGTCCTGGTTTCTAGTTGCTACTCTACTCAAGAAGCTGACTGGGTCGCTTATGGCCAATCACTGACTTCCGGCCTTGCCTCCTGCACAGGGCTCCTGTGAGAATGAAGCAGAGGAGTGGAAGATGGATGATGAATGAATACATGAAGCTGAAATGGAGAAGAGGAAGGCTATCAGTTGCTGCTAGTCCTGATGGCCCTGTGCTACCTCCAGTACCAGAGCGTGGATAGTACGGCCTCATGTCCTGCTTGTGGCTTCCCACAGTGATCTAGCTGGCTCCTGCGCTTTACTAGATGAACTCTTTGTTTGATCCAGCAGGGTGGTTGTTACATTAAGATATTCCCTGGGCTCCCTGGGAGAAGGCGGACTAGAATGCAATAAATAAAAATAATGCTTTTGTGAACCACCTAGACAGCGCTAGCTATTCGGCAGTAAAGAAATAAAACAACTCAGTAAAGAAATAAAATAAGTGAAGTGAGTGCCAGCAAACCATGTACAATTATGCTAGAAGGGTTACAGGATTTGACCCTGAAAAATGGGAATATTGTAAGCAATCTCTCTGTATGTACTCAGACGCATCTTGCATTTGCACAAATTACAGAATCTTTCCTGAATTTCCCAGTGTGGCCTAATGGGGACTGTGTTGAAAAGAATCAGCTATAAAATCAAGGGATTGCACCGGATAAGCTGCCATCATAAATTCAGTTTCCTATCTATGAAGTGTGATTATTAATAAATTACAGTTTAGTTCCACAGTAAGGTAATCTAAATCCTGGGCCTATAAAAAGCTGACTGAAGGATGATGCTATTATATGGTCATCTGTTCAAAAATAATAAAGCTTACAAATAAGGAACTTGTATATATATGTAATAATGAAACTTTTCCTCTAGAATGTTTTACAAGCTTTTATACAGTTAGATGTGAAAAGGCCTCTGTATTAAATTTGTAAATTTGAATAATTTTGAGGTGGAGAAATAAGGTGGAAACATTCGTCATGCAGCTTGATGCATCTTCATGATATATTTCAATATTGGTTGTTTTAGAACTGTGGTTATCTGTTTTGAATGTTGAGTTATCTGAAAGATAGTCGTTTATCAGGTAGCCCAGTAATTTAGATTAAGCAGGATATTACATTTTAAATAAAAAACTAAATTAATCTACTTGAAGAACAGTCAACATAAAACAGCTTTTTCAACTGTGATGTCCCAAACATCTTTCCATATAAAATTACCTGGGTGGTAGGTAAAATGCTGGGGCTGGCTTTTTTTCCGCTTTCCATTGATCACATAGAAGTTCACCTTAACAGATGTACGAATGTGCTTGTTCCGATATTCTGGTATCTCTACAAAAAGCATATTCTGGGGGAAAGAAATGGGTATGGGCAAGATACAGTAACAAATCAGAAAACACTCAGTTTTTATCAGTCATCTTGCTTAAGATGCCATGGAATGTCTACTAGAAAGATGGTTTATCCACAGCTAGAATAAAGCTGATCTAAAAATCTGAAACAAGCTTGCTGGTTTCCTTATCAGTAGTCTCCATCTTAGAGAAGTATCCCAATACGCTCCATATTTTCCCCCTACTTCTAATAGTTCTATTGTAAGACTGTCCAGAGACCTCGGGAGTGGACAGTACATAAAAGTTTTAAACAAACAAACAAACAAACAAACAGTTTGTCCTGCTAACAAAGGCAAGGCATCACATTCTTCATTGATTCCAAAGGAGACTTTAATTTAATATTTTCTGCATGCACACATGCACACACACCTTTCAGGAAAAAATATGGGCGTGTGAGGAGGTTTAACAAACAAACCCTCCCAGAGCTCCATGGCCCTGATCCCAATCAGGGCTGCATGAAGGAAAACAATGACACATCATCTCTTCCTGATTAGCAAAATGTTTCGTTTTGCCCTTAGGCAACGTTTTGCTCGCCAACAGGGTGATACAGCAGTAAACAAGATGTTGCTTCTCAACCTTACGCCTAGGCTAGTAGGCATATCCAGATGAAACATCTTGAGGGAAATTAGTTTGCCTTGGGAGCAATGCTCCCATATATGCTGCAGTCACTCTCTGCCATTTCTTAGCCATTTTAGTCGCCTGCACGTATAGAAAAGTTACCACAGTGCAGAAATCAAGTCGTAAAATGTTACAGACACAGACCAGAAGAATTGGGAGTTCTCACTACTAGCTAATAGACAGAAAGTCTTGCTAGCAAAGAGCGAGCAATTTGAGTTTCTCCTGGTAACAATGGGGAAGCAGCATGGGGAAGAGCCAGGGTGGTGCAGTGGTTAAGAGCATGGGACTGGGACTCAGAGGATCTGGGTTCGAGTCCCCGCTCAGCCATGGAGCCAACTGGGTGACTTTGGGCCAGTCACAGACTCTCAGCCCAAACTACTTCACAGGGTTGTTGTTGTGGGGATAAGATGGAGGAGGAGATGTAAGCTGCCTTAAGCCCTTTGTAGGAAAAAGGCAGGATATAAATCACAATATAAATAAAAATAAATAAAATAAACTTCTAATTTGCTGGATCACAGATTCATGTACGTACTATCGGTGTTAAATCACTATGTGAAACAGTGAGTTACTGTCACTATGACAGTCACTTGGTCGCAATTGACCTAAAGTTTATTGAACACATGTTTGCAAGCTGCCTACACAAGGCACTTTCAGAATCTGTTAAAAAGACAATAAAACAAGTAAAGAGAACAAACCCACTGATATTAATGAGCTTAACAAGGCTCCTAGGTTGATGCTGGACTTCCTTTGTGTGTAAGAAAAGTTGCTGATCATACTTACAGGTTGGCTCTTATCTTTATCCACCGTGGCCTCCATTTCCCAAATCTGTTGCCCATCTGCGGAGAAATATACATATATATTAAGTCAGGCATAAAAACAGCTTTCCAGAATGTATGCAAAACACATGTAAATACAATCATCATGTTCCCCTCACTTCTTCCAACCCCACTATAGTGGTTTCAAGTGTTCTGGGTGCATTGCCTATATTCTCTCGTAATTCATACCAATCTGTAAGATAAATGGTCATTGTTATTCTCTGTAGTGAAAATGGGTTGAAACTGCAGCACATTTCCTAGGACCACCCAGTGAGCTCATAAAGGCAGGAAGACTCCATTGGAACAATTTCGGATTCAGACCTATGCCAATTTATATAGAAGTAAGCCTTTTGAACGCAGTGAGACTTACTTCTAAATAAACATGAACAGAATTACTTAGTTTCTTACATCAGTAACACATCAGCTCCAATGGTGGGTCCTGGTCAGTTGTAAAAATGTCAACATTCCGAAATGTACTAGCAAGGGGCATCCTAAACATTCCCTTCATGTTATCCAGGATTGATAATACCAAAGGAATGCATGCTGGGTCGTTGTTATTTCTGCCTAGGGCTTCACACATTAGTCCAGTAGCAAATGCTTCTACCCCCACCCTCATGGAGAACTAGCTAATCCAGTCACCATCTTTCTAAATTGTGATATGGTCGGTATAAACACCATCTGCACTCAACGGGCACAAAGAAAAAAAATCTGATGAAGATCCTGCTTTGAGTAGCCATTTAGGACATTTAAAAATGTTATTATGTTCCCACAAACTTTAGCCTTTTCCTTGAGCTAAAATGTTCCTAGTTCCTTTGTGGCCTTTCCTTGTTACTCTTCGACCTTACACCAGTTTCTTTCCTTCCTCTTCACTTTGTCAGCATATTGCAGATAGTGCAAAACTAACACAGGCATTTCATTGGCACCTGAAACAAGCTTAAGCTTCCTTGGATTGTGCCTAGATCAATCTACTCAGGCAAAGCTGGCTTAGTGCTGAATGAAATGGAAAATCTTCCATACTCCATGCTACCAAGAATACAATTTCTCTTTTTCTTCTTTTTATAACTCCTTCTTCCTATTTAGTTTTTTGCTCATTCAAACCTTTTGGTCCTCTCAGCAATGCAATTGCCTGGCCAAATATTTTCTATTTTGCATATTTCAAATGGAAATGGAAAAATATAAATAATTTTATTTGATAAATATAAGCATTAATTAACCCTGATATTTGTTTCTTTTCCCATTGTGCACTGAGCAGAATTCACAAAGCAAAGTGCAACCATGAAACAGCCATACAGATAATGCTTGATTACATGTAAATTTCTTGATAAGTACTATCTTAACTAGGGACAAAGGAAAGATCTTGTTGTTGTTGTTAGTCTTGCGAAGTTGTGTCCGACCCATCTCGACCCCATGGACAACATTCCTCCAGGTCTTCCTGTCTTCCACTATCCCCCCGGAGTCCACTCAAGCTCACACCAACTGCTTCAGTGACTCCAACTAGCCATCTCATTCTCTGCCATCCTCTTCTTCTTTTGCCATCTATTGTTCCCAGCATTAGGCTCTTCTCCAGGGAGTCCTTCCTTCTCATTAGGTGGCCAAGGTATTTGAGTTTCATCTTCACTATCTGGCCTTCTAAAGAGCAGTCAGGGTTGATCTCCTCTAGGACTGACCGGTTTGATCGCCTTGCAGTCCAAGGGACTCGCAGGAGTCTCCTCCAGCACCACAATTCAAAGGCCTCAATCCTTCAGCGCTCAGCCTTCCTTATGGTCCAGCTTTCACAGCCATACATTGCAACTGGGAAAACATAGCCTTGATCTACAACAGATTTAAATGAGTTCAGATTTCTCTGATTCTGAAGATTGTGTAACAGACCAGCTTTCTCTCTAAGTCACATGGATTCCATTGACTTGGTTTTCACTTGGGAGTAGAAATGTGAATTTGCACAAATAGAACAAAAAAGAAACTGATAAAAATAAGCCAGGTTCCATTAATAAGCAGACAACAGATACTTGGCCAACCCCAAAGACTGATGGAATGGATTTAATACAATATGTGTATCCTTAATCTCAACCAAAACTACAGTGTCAACACATTTAAGGCATCATTGTCTCACACTGAACTGTGAATTACAACACTGTATCTTATAGAAACTAATTTTACTTTCAATGTAAAGCAAATGCAGAAATTGGACCAGAAAGGTGCAATTAACCACATAATGCTACCATATGACATGTCTAAAATGAAAGAGTTAGCTCAGGTGAAAACGTCTAGGTCTAAATCCAAGCTGTACTGACTACAAAATAGTTTAAAGGTCTTTTGTCAGTACAATCATATAGCCACTCATCTGAGAGTAAGCCTTGATGAAGTCAATAGGATTTGCTTCTGAGTAGACATGTATAAATTATGCTGTACAGGCCAAATGAAATGTGATGTTAAACACATTACTTGAAGTGCATGGCTGTTTTTAAAATTAGCATCACTGGGGGAACAAATTGTTTTTTAGTCAGGAACACTGTGGTGCATGGAGAGGGAGGTTAACCCATTCTTCCCTGGTGCAGTCCCACTTTAAAGACCTTCTCCTTTTGCCAGCACATAGTCCTTGCAAGCATGTCCCCATAAGCACGTATGGGAGCTTGCCTGCTAGAACTAACAGCCAGAGTGTGTGTGTGTGTCCCTTCATCAAGACAATGTGTGTTATGGAGGGTTAACCCTCTCCCTGTATGTTGAAGTCACAATGGAAAACCTCCATCCTTCCCTCACCACACACAATGCAGAGCTCCAGGTGATGCATTTATCATCAGCAATAAGTTTGCTGTTTGCCTTGAAATTTGATTCATACATGCAATTAAACCACTGAGTGACCTATCAGTCATTTATATATAGGCAGATACATGAGCTGCCTCATTAGAAATGATTCAATGTAAGGTAGCATGAAAAGACACAGACATGTTGACTTGCACTCTGGGCAACATATAAGGTAAGGCAGAGCCTCAAAATCTGAGACAGAACCAGGAAGAGGTCAATTAGCACTATGTGATTTGAAGTTAGTGTTATGCAGAGGTAATTCTAAACCACCACAAGGATTCTCAGAAACAGCAAAGTTCAACTTCTAGAACAAAAAATTGTTTCAATCTGGACAATACCTGGAACAAATAAACTTGTCTGTGACTGTATCATTTCAGGTTGCACATGGAATGTCACATCCAACTTTTAAGACTTCTCCCCCACCAACATCCCCTTCCAGGCATCAGGGTTTGCCCTGGCCTCTTTTACTATACTAATTTTCTGTGTGCAGAGAATTCTTTTATGTGGAGCAGCATCCCAGGATCTGTTGTGGACCCACCTGTTGTGTGAAGTGATGCAGCCCATATGCAAGCTCATCACCTCGTTTTTCCTTTATGAGAACTAGGCCAAAGAAAGCGGCATGTGTGGTGTGTGTGCGTGCACATGCACACAGAGAGAATTTACTCTGCGAGAAGAAACAAGAGGAAATGGGAGCACAGGCTCCCCCAGGGAGCCAGTGTTACACTGCGGAGGGCCTCTGGCAGGGCTGAGTCATTAGCTGATATTTCTGCTTCTTTAATTGTTGTTCTGTGGGATGATGTTAAGTAGGTGCAATTTCTCCTGTCCCTGCAGGATAGTTAAGAGCCGCAAGCCGCACCTGATTCATGAAGATATTTATGGCACATGGGATCCTCTTTAAGGATGAGGTCTACAGACAGTTTTATGAGCTAGAATCGCCAGTCAGATGCAAGGAACAGGCACGTTATTTCTGTACTGTTAGAAGGTTGCAATAAAATCATTGCCCCTTGGGATTCAGGGTGGGGGAAGAGGGAGGCAGAGGAGGAATGATGACTCAGATGCATCTGAGTCAGAAAACTCCTCTGGGACTACCCCTGGGATGATTGCAGTTCACAGCCCTGCCCTTTCCCAAGGGGGTTTCCCTACAGCCACAAAGTACTCCATTGTTTCTGAACTGAGCTAGCCAGTACAGTTTCCACATGCTGTGTGCTGAAGCACCCTGGCTAAACACAGCAGCTGCACACCTCCAAAGAACAGGCAACTTTCCAAGCAGGTTAATTACAGAACTGTCACACACAATCAGCCAAGTCAAGGTGACCTGTGTGACAAAGCAATGGGCTAAACACTGGGCAGGCATGTAGGCCCAGGTATATGTACTGCTTCAGTGATACGGAGAACAATGGTGGTGGTGATAAAGATCCCATCATACAGGAGAGCCCTGGACATGGTTGAACTCACCACCACCACCACCACCACCACCACCACCACCATAACCATACAATTAACATTATTCTGTGCCAAGAGCTGAAGTCTGGAACCTGTGCAGATGGACAAGCAGCCATGCAGAGCAGTTGGTTGGAAGAGAAAACCAGTGACCACTGCAGCTGGAGGTTTGCCTCAGCAGTTCCCGATCCTCCACAGCTGGAAGTTCAGCTGTCACTAGAGGGCCAATCTAATAATACCATGGGATAGAAAAAGTCCCTTGCAATTCCCAGGTGGTCTCCCCTTGAAGCTCAGGCCAGCCCCAGACCTGCTTAGCTTCTGCATGGGGCATGCCTTATGTGCCTTCAGACCAGAATCTGGGCCTGACCAATTTTGCAGGATTGAACCCAAGTGATGATGATGATGATCAAAAGTTATCTTTCCCTCTTATGGAATAGATCTATTTCTGTGGGACAATTATTATTTTCTTTATATGGTACTTGTGGAAAGGGAGAAAATGAAAGCAGGGGAGGATAAGTCCCTGTCTCAAGGAGCTTACAATCCAACAGTGCAGGAGGGAACAGTGAGATGGGAAGGGAATGGAGGAAAGGGAAAGGTACGTGTTACAAGGACGAATGGTGACCAAATGTGCTTCCATATGCCTAGATTACATTTTCATTGGACAAGGGGACTAAGGGATAAGACTACAATAAAGAAAATGTGGTTTTTTGAAAAACAAATCTGAAGGACATGGGAAAGGTGTGAAATACATAGAAAGTCTATGGACTACTCATGAAGTA